GATCATACAACATGGGTCTCCAAATGCACTATCCATATGTCCTTTTTTATAGGGGGTATAATTTGTTTCGTAGAGCTTGTCTACATCACTGTTGAGCTGAATGCCCAGGTAGGTAAGAACAGACTCACAAATTCGGAATGGAAATTTGTTACACAATCGATTTAGATGTGAACTGTCCATGTTTACCGGCAGTAGTTCAGATTTTGTGAGGTTGAGTTTGTATCCCGAAATTTTGGAAAACCTTGATACCAGGTTGAGTAGCGACAATGTGAAAGAAAAAAGTGAACTTAGTGGATCGTACTACCACCAAAAGATCACTCAGTGGAGCGCTAAATATCAAATTCTTACCCCTATTGGAATAACGTATATATCACTCTAAGGGGCAGACAGCATAATAAAATCTACAACAAGAAAATACACATCATGGTGCAGTATGCTTGTAAGGTGTGAATGGAGTGGAAGAAGATGTATGTCCAACTCACATGGTAAAGAGCCTGGAGATTGGCTCAAATCACAACAGCTGAGGTATGTTTGGTAATACCAGACCTTCTCCAGATGTACAACTCACAACATATGTGGATAAAAAAGGACAAAAATCCTAGTGCAAATATGTTTAAAATAAACAAGTGGTCACATATAACAGTGCATGAATGTGCTCACCTGGAATAGAGCCAATTGTACTAGGCTCTATGTATAAGCATGTGGTGCCTTTAAGGGAGGCACTACCCTTCTTTAGAAAATGCAGGAAGCAGTTGAAGATCCACTACCAGATGTATAAGGTAAAAGTAACAATTTATTAAAAAACAAACAAACAATTAAGCAAAGTAAAACTGTATATACAGGTACCAAAAAGTAAAAGTCTCATCCGAAAGTAAAAGTCATCCGATTGAGAAAGCCCCACGGCGAAAACGCGTCTCGGAACTCCAAGGAAGACCACCCCAGAGACTTTTACTTTTTGGTACCTGTATATACAGTTTTACTTTGCTTAATTGTTTGTTTGTTTTTTAATAAATTGTTACTATACATCTAGTAGTGGTGCTTCAACTGTAAAAATAGTGCCCTATTTGCACTAGGATTTTTGTCCTTTTTTATCCACATATGTTGTGAGCTGTATATCTGGAGAAGGTCTGGTATTACCAAACATACCTCAGCTGTTGTGATTTGAGCCAATCTCCAGGCTCTTTACCATGTGAGTTGGACATACATCTTCTTCCACTCCATTCACACCTTACAAGCATACTGCACTATGATGTGTATTTTCTTGTTGTAGATTTTAGTATGCTGTCTGCCCCTTAAAGTGATATATA